TCCATATGAATGACAAATATTCTGACAAATTTTCGCTTATTTTCTTGCTGGCTTTGTGCAAAACTTTCATTGCGCAGCTTTTCTGGAAGCTAAAATATCTTGTCGTGAACGAAGCTCTTTTTCGAAAATTGTTTTGGACCGGGAGGGGATCGAACCATTCCTCTTCACGTCCGAACGCAATGTGTTACCACTACACCACCGGGCCTTGTGCTTCAGGTTCAGCCAGACAGCACATCTACTGTGATCTGCCTTTCAAGTCAAGATTAACCTTTCTGTTCTCTTTTTCCTTGTGTCGGCTTCTTGGCCGACTTTTTGCGTGTTTTCTGCGATACATCCCCTCCACCTTTTTTCTCCTTCAGACTTCACTTTTAGGGGGACCCTAGAGGACTTTTGTCGGTTCTCGCGATATATTGTGATGAACTCTTTGCATGTTTATACTGTACCTCAGTTTGACGTTTCAGAAGCACCAGAGTTACTTCATGACATCTACTGCAACAGCAGCTGGCACAAAAAAGTTGATCAAAACGAGCGCACAAAATGGTACCACAAATCGGCCCGATATATGGTTGCATGACAGTTGCGTGGTAAGTTCCAATTTTCTTGCAAATTTTTGCATAAATCACGAAAAACTATATGGCGGTATCATATCTGTGTGCGTATATTGCGAGAAACCCGTTAACCATCTTTCTAGGTGTTCATCTTAACATTTGAAGATATGCGTGTATGTGTGTGTATGTATGTACTTATGTATGTGTGTATATGTATATGTGTACGTATGATATGTATATATCTACATATGTGTGTATGTTGTATGTCATGTCTTTAATGGATGTGTGGAATTTCAGGTCTGTCAAAGCAAGCATTATTCGGATGCCGACAAAGAAGCTCACGCACGAACACAGTCGCACATCAAGGTCAGTTTCGAAGAATTTCGATATCGTTTTTCAGGGCAGTTGGTCAGTTTTTTTGGATAAAACACGATTGCTTTGACCTTTCGACATCTTTTTTTTTCCAGCGTGTCCGCGTCTATGATTTCTTCTCGAAAGAATCGGGTTCACTGGGACCGACACAAATACGTTCGGTATTACTGGACCGATACAAACGTGCTCGTAGCTTGGCACTTGGTACGTCAAAAAGTTGTTACTAACTGTATCTGGAATGTTCAATCTTAATACTTAGTGAATTTGAACTGCATAAATGTAGAAGCTTAAACCTGAACTATGTAACTTTATAGCTTCAGCGCGTAAGCATAGCCCCTATTTTTGGTCCCGGATATTTTTGATATGACTTTAGGCATCACTGGCACAATGTGATTCTGAATATTCTAATATATGATATCTGAATATTAATACTTCGAGTGTTTTTGAAATAATCCTCGCTGTCTTTGGTGTGGGATCAGTTTGTCTTTGGTATATCCCCATAAGTCTCTGTTGTAGTTTCGGTTGTCTTTAGCTTAGCTGCAGCTTTTGGGCCTTGGACTTTTGCGAACTTCTGTTTTCCGAT